ATTTTATGCGATTAAGAAAAGGACAGATCTGTTACAAATTTCTTCTGAATGCATAGATGAAGGTTATAGGTTTGAATCCATATCGCTTCTGCTATACTTAACTGATGAAATCGAATTATATTGGAAAATAATAAAGACATGGTACAAATCACTTCAACTAATTTAATTTTACTATTAGTATGATCAGAATTCGTCAATTGAGCTACATATTGCCTTCCTATTGCTTGTCACTTTAAGATTAAGATCTAAATGAATACAATATTGTTAGATTATATGATTAATTCTAATTTACACTATACCGTGGATGCGCACTGCTGAGGAGTCTCACAATAGGACGAAACGGCCGTCCAGTCCTTCCAGATTTCCAAAGGTGGTCTAACATCAATCGGATCATGATCTAAATCAGACACCGATTTTGTTTTAAACATTCAAAGATTATTCTCAGGTTATTAAAATAAGTCATAGATTGTTTTCATATATACTAGTTTATTTAAGCAAAATATACAAAAGTCAATCAAAATATTGATAAACAATAAGGATGAAAATCAGAATTAGTGAGTAAAGCCTTGTTAATCCAAAGTTTATACTGTTAATCACAAGATTAGAGATGTTACTTTATATCATAAACCGATGATCATTCCGTCTTAGTATAGGATCTCTCGGTAATATACATCCATGAACCTGCAATAAAAAATAAAAACTAAGACCATTGGTCTTTTGCAAGAATGTTTAGTCTCTACACCATTGAGCTTATGTCAATTACAATCAAGTTACGATATCATGTGACCACCTTCCATTCCTTGTGATTAATAACTGTCTCATACGTGACAGGATTGGTCAGAGCTTTTCATCAGAATTTTAGCAATTATATCTAAAAGCTATTCATTTGTAATATATAGTCTACAAAAATATTTATTGATGACATTCATTATCTTTTTTTTGATGTAACTAACATTTATTTCGAATATAATAACTGTATCTTGGTATTAATCAAACATTTACTATGAGTATATTTAGTAACTTATTCTTTTGTTTATTATTCATGACGTTCTCCTTCATCATATAGCTTTATTTGAACTTAATACAACTTTTTATTATTCAGTCAGTCCCCTTCCTATAAATGTATGAAATGTCTTATAAACCATATTGTATATGAATGATAAAATAACTTGCTTAGATCTACGATACTTCTAGCAATTTGAATACTTGTTATATCAGAAGGGATTTTGTGGAGATTGTAGTAATTTTAACGGTTGGGATCATGAGTCAATAGGAGCTAGATAGGAACTCACTGATGACAATGGTGGATGTGTCGCTCAATTTCATGGATTCGTTGAAGTTACACATTAACACCGTTGGATGCCGGCTCAGTGGTTTAATTGGTTGAGTGCCTGGCGCGAGACTGATAGGTCCTGGGTTCGCATCCCGCGAGGCAGAGTCGTGGATGCGCGTTGCTGGGGAGTCTTACAATAGGACGGGACGGCTGTCCAGTGCTTCCAGGTTATCCACGGTAGTCTAGCTTCGATTGACTCATGATCTCAACTGTTGAAATTACTTGTCATATAATTGAAGAATAGATTGATATCTGTTACGACACAAAAAACGACACAAAAAAATAAGAATCCAAGACTGTTTGGTGAAGATTTATTCACGTGTCCACCAAACACTGATTACAACACTGATCAAAATGTACTATATATGTATATATATGGTCAGTAAATAATGAAATTGCGATGATTATAGTTTTGAGTTGTTTTCATCAATCAATAAACAATTTCATGTATGTATGTAATTGAAAAAACCAATTAATCAACTGATTTCACTCACAAACATAATTAAATCACTATATCATTTATTTTATATCATTCTAATAAGTAGTGATTTATATGTGACCGAATTTCCTTTTGATCTACATTTATTTGTTGTAAATGTTTTTTTGTCAGGTCAATCACCACCCAAATTGTTGAGTGAAAAATTATTTTAATTGTGACGCTTAATGATACCTCTTTCAGAGCAACTAATGGGAAGATTATATTTATAATTTCCAACTGACTGACTACTAAATGGTGAATAATTATGTTTATGTAGATCTTCATTCTAACCGAATCCTATTGATTATTAGTCTTAGTGACTTGGTATCGCGTCAGCCATTTTGAGATGCTAGGAGTTTGAAAGTAGTAGACAATAAAACTTTGATCTAGGCGTCGTACTCGTTGGCAAGTTATAGGAAGAAAGATTTTAGGGTCTTTATGAGATTTGAAATTGCACCACACAGATTTAGGCCGCTTCTCAAATATCTCAGTAGTAATGTCGCAGATTGTGAACTCAAGTGTTTCAAGTTGATATCTCAGAGGGATCACAGGTATATTCTGTTGAATAGTTTCAACTAACAAGGGACCTAATTTTAAAATTTTCTGTCAATTACCTAACATCATATCATAGTGCACAGAACACTGAACTTCTTAAGCTAGTTTTTGAATAACAACTCAATCGAAAAAAATTTAATCAACCGTAAGTAACTAGACAAGTATGATATTGGTTACACTATACAGTAATCAATCAGTTATGGATGATAAATTTTCATAAGTAATAAAAATACCATTATCAGAATGGGTTTTGTGGAGATTTTAGGAACCTGGAAGCACTGAACGGCCGTTTCGTCCTAGTATGGGACTCCTCAGCAGTGCGCATCCACGATTTCAACCAATGAACAATACTATTATTGATCAACTCACAGTGGTTAAATTTTCTGCCAGAGTTAATACAAAATACCAATAAATGGTTCATCATACTTATTTTTTTTAATTTCACATGATTTAACTATTTGTTCTTTCATTCAATATTCTCACATACATATATAAACATGCTAATGAAATTAACTGAATGACTACGGTGCTTCTTGTTTTAAAAATGATGATTGTTCAATACTAACAATACTGTCATACATTTTTATCTAGCGTTTAATGTTTATTTTCGTTCTAAAACTGCATATGTGGAATTGAATGTAAAAATGTGTAATCTGTGTTATAACTAAGGAAATAGTGAATGATTGTGAGAGATATGATCTATAACTTGATTTTGTAAGATTATTGCAGTTGAGTTATATATCGGTATATATAGGTATATATCGGTGTTATAACTTATGCCCTGTGTTCTTATTAATGTATAGCGTAATGATACCGCCAAGTAGAGAACAGTGAATTATCGACCAGACCAATGATGCATAAAACAAGTACAAGCAGTCTAGAGTCCTTATCGGTCCTGCTTCCTACCTGGCCCTGCCTGTTAAGTCCAGAACACTATACTCAGCCTCTGCGATATGAATCATGTATTTCAAACATACTAGGTTTATACACCGACCGGACAGACCACATCGTACCATAAAATAGAAAAAAACATTTGTATAACATCTAGCTAAATGTGGTTGTGAATGTGGGAGACTGTAGTTGATAGACTGGGCATAACTCATGAATGATAAATCGTATAATAATAGTTCATAAGTCAAAATAAAGCTTATGATAAGCGAGACACGAATATGAATAGTTTAGTTACTTAATAATTCTACAATAGAAATTTACTTATAGTATTGGTCCATAAATGGATCCCAAAAATTACCATTGATTATTCTCGTCGGGATATATCAATCGGAATTATTAATGCGATATCTATGATAAACGGATATTGAAGAACTAAATATTTTGTTAGCTAAAATGTAGTTTTCATTTATCAAGACTACATATACATGAGCAAAATATTTGTACAAAATAAACATAACTGAAGTTTATTCAATTTGTAAAAGAGTACTGATATTAGTAAGGATTTGCTATTTTTTGTTATTAATATTAAGGACTGTATTTCAGTCAGTTACTGTTCCCATAGTTACATCCTAAAATTGTTATAATGTAGTGGATGCGCACTACTGAGGAGTCCCACAATAGGATGAAACGGCTGTCCAGTGATTCCAGGTTTTCCCTGGTGGTCTAGCTCCAACTGACTCATGATCTTAACCATTGAAATTACTATAATATCCACAAAACTCATCTGATATTAATTGATTATTTGTTATTAATTACGTCATTTAATGTTAAATGTAAGAATGCATAATTAAACAGTTACATCTATTGATGTTATTATCTGAGTGTAGAGCACTTCAATATATGTATGTATCTTAAAAGCTAAACTTTGTGTAATATTAACATTAATATAAACCCATTTGTTAAATGTCACAAGTCTAGATTCTAGTGTACCAGTAGAAAGGTATAATTAGATTTAAGTGACGTTTGTCTAAAACAATAATTACTATATATATATGATCTTTATTTTAACTAGATACATCTAATAACATAATACTTTTGTTTTAAATAAGTAGTACATAACACCATCATCTTGTTGTAAAATCTGTGAAAAAAAGAATAAGAAATAGATAGTAAATTAATCAGACATTGTTTAAATGGTGTAAGGATTAATAAAATGAAATTGTATACAGGATAAATTTAAGTAATATTTCAATAAAGATTACTTTCTATACGGAAATAGATAGATTATACATCGATGTAGATGTGTGTATAAACAATTGCTTAATCCATAATATATAATTGATAAGATCGAATTCAACACAATATATAACGGGACATATTGGAAATATTTATTGTTGAAAGGAATGAACCATTTCGATTAAGTTTATAATAGATCTGAACATAACGAATTGCTTATTGTAATGAACCAGATGACCAGAATATTTGTTCCTTTAGGTCTTTGTGGTTCAAGAGTTGAGTATTTGTTCATGTAGCTGAAGTTTCTGGGTTTGATCTGTTAACGTGAGTTTATCGATTTTTATGGCTGAGGAGTCTCTTCACGGAATGAAACAGTTTTACAGTGTTTCTTAGTTTAAAATGATGGCCTATCTAACATCAGTTAGTGGTTTAAACTATGAAACTTTAACATGTATAAAACCCAAATACTAATCTGAATCTTTTACCAACTATTATATTTTTTTATAGACAAAATGTTGCATAGATCAGAATGTCACATTATGTACAGGGAGTCAAACAAAGTCACCAGAAAAACGAAAGCAAGAGAACTACAATCTAGATCAACAACAACAACGCAGTCAAATAATACCGAAAGAATTAGATCAGTCAGACAATGATTCTCATCTAAAAACAGATAATCAAAAAAATGTATCATGGAAACTGAATATTGATAGTGATTATGAAGTAGATTCGTTAGCGTTAGCTCGTGATGGTGGTATACTGGATTGGATGATCGTGTTGTTGATGTGTTAGATGATCGTGAACTGGTGAGTACTTGTTACTTACTTCCTTTTACAATTATAAATTGGTTTTATTTTCTATAGTGTATTCCATGGATTACATAATGTACAGACTTATTTTAACAGTCAAAAAAGTCTGTAAAGCATTGAAACAACGATTTTATTCTGGTTTATAACTAGTTAGAAGTGCTTACTCGCAATTCCACTCAAGATAGCACATTAATTAATGTTTTTGAAGTTTTAACCATTTGATTCCGATTGGGCAGTTTAATTTAGAAATGAAGTCTCTGAATTTGATTATATGGGGAGTCAATGATGTAAACTTCAAAGGTGCTTCAAACCAAAACGAATCACCTGCCTAATGCTGCTGGTTTTTTAATGTTTCTCTAAATGTTATTTGATATAGGTTACCCTTTAATCAGTAACTTAAAAGCATTTGCTTACTCTAAATAAGATCACTGATTTATTGAATTTACCAACAATGAGCTAACCTTACGTCAAATAACACACTTTATCTTTTTCTTTATTAAGTATATGGACACCGATCACTGGCTTATATAGATTTCTTATGTCTTCCGTCTAGCCTAGTCTGTCAAAATATGAGAAAATTCAATAGATTTACATTTAATATTGTGTATTCTATGATTAAGAAACATCAGTGGTTGTAGGGTTACAATGCACCACATAATTGAGTCATTTGTGGTATAAAACCAAGTAACAAATACGTGGTGAATTAACCGTAATACGTAAAAGGTATAAAATACACTCGTACATCCATTGATGAATGAAATGAATGAAATGAAGGTTTACAAATATGTTAATATAGAAAAATACCATAAATCATTTATATATTGATTGACAACTGAACAGTCCTCGAAATTCTACCCTGACCATATATTACTCCATATCTAACATGGTTATTATTCATAATATTTCAAAATAATAAATTAAGATATAAAAGTATCTGTAACCTGTAGAAAATTTATTTATTTATTTAAACAAATAAATACTGGTACAAAGGGGGCACCAGATACATATGTGCCGCACAAATCAAATGAGATTTGTATGAGCGCTGGGATACTGCCCGGGTGTCCAAACCGAATCAGCTGGTTTTCTTAGGGGGCCACACCCGGAGGCTTTGATCTGAAGGCCTGATACACAAGGCAGTGGAGCAACGCAAGTAGATGCAGTCCCATGATAGCCGGTGACCGAAAATTGGTTCATACGCCATTTGTTCCCACAGGGTACTGAAGCCCATGTATACCATTGGTTTGGAATCAGGGTTTTCCAACTGCCTTAGGTAGACTGCCCATGTCCACCAACCCGGTTAAAGCGCCGGGCACTCGCTTTTCATCCTTTCAATTTCGTAAACAGTAGTAATGCCGCAAGAAGGCAATGAGTAGAACTTCCCTGCCAGTGGCTATATAGGCGTGGTCGTGTGAGAGCATTTCGAGAGGAAGACAGGAATCTCCTCACTCTCGGCCGTACCAGGGCATTTGGGGACAACCTGTGGAAAAAATAAAACGAAAAAAGAACATCTACAGAATTTAATGTCTAACACACTGCAACAGGTTCTGCTAATATCAGTATTTGACTTTCATTTCAATAAATTAAATAGTCACAGACTAGATCTTCAAACATACTGCTGTTGGTTAAACATTTCAATAATGATACTTCTGAATGTTAATTCCTCTGCTTCATGGATAAATCAACCATTAATTCGGTAATATAAGAGTTATAAGTATGTACGTTTACATAAAATAATAGTGAATCTTGTTTGCAATATTGCCTTATTTAAGTACTTTTTTTCTCATTAACACAATTCTATTACTAACACAATTTACTCATCTCTGAAAAGAAACTATTGGGTTATTCTGGTATATATAACCATAAGCATAATAACAAAATAACGAACGTCGATAAAACCAGAGGGAGGACAGTCAAAACAATAACTGAAAGGTTAAGAGAAATATTTAGTGGAATAAGATATAATTCTATTATTTATTTGTATTAGGTTGATAACCTGGTTTTGTCACATCCACATGTATTTAGGAATTCAGCTAATTCTTTGGAGAAAGTTATATTGGACACAAAACCAAACAACTGAGTCAACTAGTTAGTAAACACCTTACTTCATGTTTACGAAAGAGTAAAGTCGAAATAAAAGCAGTTCTATTCTGTCAAACTTGATCAACAACACTCGTGTAGTAGATAGGAATAGGTCTTTTAAAGTAGTTCACCGCATTCCTATTAGTTCTCCTTGTGTGGCTCAATCTCGTTTCTTACACATAACAGAAGTTGTAGGGATTCAAGCTAACAATTCAACTCTTTGTATTCATAAAAAAATTTGCGACACTCTTATTTCTTCCTTGACCTAATCAGCCTTAATAAAAGATTTTTTATTATTTTCTATACTCTTTGTTCGTTTACTTGTGTTCACCCAATTTTTATGAAACATATACTTCACTGTCCAATTATCTGAATACTTCTTATTGCGTAATTTTTAATGAAACCTATTTCAGTATCTATTTAGTCTGGTTCATTGACCCACTTCTTATTAGGAAACATTGATTCGAGCCTTTATTATTTATATCACAACTAGTACATCAGTGTATTAGTACATAATCAATTTGTACTTTTTAATTATTATGCAATCTATTCCACTGTTGATGGATTAACTACCTTGATTGGTTTAATAATTTCATATAATAATTTCATAAGCGTTCGCGCGCAAGACTGAGGGCCCTTGGTTCGAATCCCGCGAGCGGGATCGTGAATGCGCACTGCTGAGGTGGTCTAACATCAATCGGTTCATGATCTCAACAAAAAAATTTCACATATGTATATAAATATTATGGTGTGTTAAAATAAAACCAGATGAAAACAATATTGTACAGTTATATGTATTGTTTTAATTCACAAAATGGAAATTTTTAAAGATTTTGCGATATACTTTTCACTTGAAACTATGACACCATTTCCTGTAGTTATCATGGTTTAATGGATTGAATAACTTTTTTTCTGGTTAGCGTTTTTCTAGCGAATTAGTTTTCTACGGGATGGGGTCACTAACCGAATGCCCAATCCCTACTCTTTTATCTAGGCTTGAGACCGGTAGTAGCTGCAGAGGAGCTTCAGGCGAAGTTAGTTATCATGGTACTATATTTTAATTTCTTTCTAAAAATTAATTCACATTTCTCATATTGTTTTCAATGGATTATATAGATTGTTAACGAAATACAGATTACTCCTGGTTTAACAGAGTTATCATTAAGAAGTCATTTTTTTACGTCGTCTTGTAATTGTTTATATTATATATCTAGGATACTGATGTTTAAAACTGTTACAAACTCAACAGTGTTTTGAATAAACAAAGTGCGTAAATTTTGTTGTTTTTTGATTCCTAATTTTTTGGTTAACAAAATATCTGATAAGAGATGAGTGGTGGTTAGTAGTGAAATCCAGGACGCGCATTTCGTCCTACTTGGAACTCGTCAGCAGGATATACCTGCATCTTAGAGTTGATATTAAATCTCGGACTTGATACCTGGATTTCATTGGCAGCCACCATCCGTCATTGCTTATAATGCTTGTAATTTAAGACAATATTGAGGTGATTCGCATAGGATGCACATATTCCAATAGAAGATTGATCAATTGTAGGCCTAAACATTAATGTGAGGAATCTAACACCCAATACAACATAAATTAACAAAATGTCTGTCTATCATGTTTTTCCATCATGCAATTCAAACGTTATCACTCAAGTGAACTACATTATTGGGTAGTATTCATTTATAAACTTCTATATTTTGTATTTGAAACCTCATTTTTGGTGATTTCATTTTTATAGTGCTGAGTTCTGAAATCTGTTTATTTGGTCTGTTAGTCTTTAGTAATCAAAATATTTCACAATACTTTAACGTTTTACCCCTAAGAATGAGTAGTGTATATGAATCTCTGTTGTTGTTTTTGTTATTTTTTAAGAAACAATCTGTATATTCAGGAAAGATATTAACAAAATATTTTTACTAATGATTGACTACACCAAGGTAAAGGATGGATGATGTCCTGCATGAAAACTAACCTACTGTAAGACAATGTATGTTTACAAATAATCAAATGATATTTTGATGCCGTTGGGTACTGTGAGTTAGATTATTTAGTTGCAGAGTTGTCATAGTTATTGTGAACCACAGTGTTGGTGCCTACGTCATGAGAAAGTGAGTGTCTCAAATATTCTGCGAGGTGTAAATCAGTTTGCTCTAGTGACCTTGTTTTCTGACTGGTTGTCTATATAGGTTTCATTTGTTCTTGTGTTCCTGTTGACTGTCTTTTTTCATTGATCTCTGACCATCTTGCTGACTGACCTTTCATGAATGTTCAAAGTTCTCTAAGCGTACTGCAATCAGTGACAGCATATTATATTGTTTCACTGTTATTTTATATTTGTGTATGAGAAGATGAAAGTGGAGTCGATTTCGTCCGCCGTACTGTACATCGCAGTCGGTACAACTTATTTTAAAAATGATTATAAATTTATCTTCATTCGTCATTATATCTTTAGATTTGCGCGAAATTGAGTGAAGACATTTTTTGTTTTTAGGGAAGATTTTGAATCCAAAAGGTTTCAAAATCCTCTTGATGATTTTTGAGATAGTTTACACATATCAGTTCTCTGATTTATGACTTTCTTTAGACATCTCGATGAAGTTGCTGGAGTAGCCATTTTTATGGAAGATAAATACAAGTTGCGTTTTTTCAGTGGAATTGATGGAATTCATTTTGCTTCTTTTGGATAAAGAGTACAAGACTCATAGTTTACCAGATTATTTCTTCACATAAATTCATTTAATATTGTTTTACTTGAATCTTCCCACTAATATTTAGTACTGCAATCGATCAGTCTCTTATTGTCATATGTACATACTATGCGTATTGCCTCAATATTGACTTAACTTCACAAGCATTATAAGCTAGCTACTATCCATCTCTACTTATTTCTTCACACTACATATTTTATCAAC